ATAAAGTTTAAGTTCATTTGACCTTTAAATTCTAAAGTTTGTTCTATGATGTTTTGTAAGGTAAATATCTGTTCCGCTTCTGAATCCAGCCTGTTTTTCCCTTAATAAGGCGTCCACTTCATCTTTCAACCTTTCTAATAATATATAACAAAAAGCTTTACCAGGTATTGATAGTAAAGAAATTCCTCTCCAGTTGTTACAATCACTTAGGTCTCCTTTTTTCGGAATAGTGACAATCACACCCTGACCCCATTCTGATGGAATAGTTTCCTGTCTCCAAATCTTGTTAAAAATATTTAATAACTCCAGTTCCAACGCTTGACCTCTGTTCTTCAGTAATTCAGGTTGCAACTCATCTGACCCTGCTGCTTTATTGTTTTTCAGATTTTGCAACACTCTTCTAGAGATATGTCATTTAGGTTTACGTTCAAAATTGCTCTGACATTTTCATTAGATAAGTCTAACAAAATATCAGGTTCACATTGGTTCAGGACTTCATTAAAATGTTCTTTCCACCTTTCCAGTTGTTCTCTTTCCGTAGTCTTCTCTTCACTAGTACTCAAATTATTTTAAATTAGTACATTACATTATTTTGATTAGTATTTATATTATTACTTCTACTTCAGATTGGATTTCATTAATAACCAGATTACTTATCATTAGTGTGTTAGAAATTTGACTCCTCTAGCGACTTCAACACTGCTAAGTAATCAGTGTACCATAAATATTTTTACTTAAATCCTCAAAGTACAAAATGCATTTATATACTGTTTACTATTAGTGAAGTCAAACATATTGCATCACAAAGAGTAATTCTATGTATTTTTTTCTGGTATTATTTCGTAGTTTTATGTTTTTTTAAACCATATATTAATATTGTTCCGACAGCCTGGTTCACGTGACGCTAGTAACACGTCATATTCTCGAACGTTCACATCTCTTCCTGAAGTCTCGAGAGGCTACTAGATATGCGGTAGTCTTGTATATATAAGCCGCCAAGAAGTGACGGCAACAATGGGTAATTGACAGTTGAGTCGAGCACATGAGACGTTCGTTGTGGAAATTAAGTGTACTGCAAAGTTGTATTGAGAAAGAATAAACCAGTTTTATTTAAGAAAGGACTTGTATCGGTAAAGTTTCTTCTGAAAGAATTTTTACGGAAAATTAACTAACGACCAGAGACTTAACAATATCCTTATTTTCTTTCATAGGTGTGCAAAAACACAATTGGATTCAAAATTTGAAGAAGAGAGAAGTGGAGGTAAGATTTTTTTTATTAGAATGTTTAAGAGTACCAAGAATGCTGTGTCCAAACAAAAAAAAAGTAATATTGCACAAGTGCAGGTTTAAATTTGACTCCTAAATGTAGAAAGTATTTTTCCTAACATTCATAGCATAACACTGGCTTCTCAAAAGGTTTATATCTGTGTTAAAATTGTGCATTAGAGATGTATTGCATTATTCATTATACAAAAAAAAATTAATACTGATGCTAAAATGATAAAAGTGGGGCAAAGTAAATATGACTTGGGAAGAATTTCAGCTGACTAGCAAATGACTTTACAGGTGGTATTGAGTATAGCATAAGTTTCTTATACTAAATTATAAATATTAGATACAGCATTATTTGTCCCTTTCAAGTGCCTAGCTGGGACTTAAAGTTAGCAAAACTGACCAGTAGTTGTGGGTAGCACTTATCATATCATCTGGCTTTGAGGAGGGGGACTTATTATTACATGCTTGTTTTATACCAAGTAATACTGGGGAAGCTGGTGGACTTCTTTCTCCATATGGAACAATGGTATTGATTGTGGTTAAAGCTGACCAACCTCTCTGTTGCAGAGGGCCTAGACTTTGGTCCATTTCATGGCAATGCTGAATCATAACTTGGATCTTTGGAACTCATGGTTGTTGGTAGGATCTTGGCTATTACTGATGTTGCTCCTGGGATGCCATGGGTGATGATGTAGTGGTAATGGTTGGTAAGGTCTTGGCTGCTGGCCTGGACAAAACTGCAAACATGGTCTCAGGTGCTGATTAATCCTTTAGTGGTAGCTCACTGTAATCCTCCTGATGCTTAGTCAATTCTCAGGAAGAATTCAGTATTGGGAAGGTAGTATTCCTGCTGGAGGTGCATGTATATCTGGTGCTGACAATGCTCTGTTACTGAGAATTATCTGATAAGGCTTGTCATGAGTTAAGTACCAATGTTTTGGCTTAGCTGACTCCTGTTTCATATCTGCTGCTGAATTGCCTGTATGCTTGGCTCAGCTGGGTAGTGGAGGTTAGTGGTACTTTAGCTGTTGCTGGTATGGCTCACAGTAGCTTTGACTTAGGTGAAAGATCAATGGCCAGTGGAAGCTGCCCAGCCCCGGGAAACCTCAAAACAAACCCAACTATACATCTTACCCATGAGCTCTACCATATTGAAAATCAGAATGGCTGTAGGAGTCTTTGGGTTGGCCACGAAGTCCAGGTTGTCATGGCAGCTAATGAAAAACTGAAGGTTCAAGCACAGAGAATGAGACACCATAAAGGTTAAGAACTTGACCATAAATAGCAAAAATCAAATGGTTGTAAATGCTATAACTGTCTAGTTACAACAATGTTCTGTTCTAAAATTTGTACTAGAGGCAGTGTTAAAACTTTTAATTTGGTCAACTGATATTTCTTTAGGCTTACTTGTACTCACATGTACATCATGTGCAAAACATGGATCTTTTGCATCTATGGATATCTCGGTCCCCCAGACATCAATGGGTTTCCATTTCACCAGCACACATCTATGCTGCCAATGTCATCACTGCCAGAACAACAGCTAATACAATATAGTTTTTACATGAATAGTGCCTTGGTTTAGTAGAAAAGAATAGGGTTGAGACTGCAGACAGTGTTTCTTACACAAAGTAGCTGACCAAGGCTAGCCACTGTACAGGCACCAACCTCTAAGAACCAAGTACTTTCAGCTCTTTCCTTCTCAAAACATAAAATTTTAATGTAATAAAATTTAAAGACAACAAAGAACCTATTGGTCCATATTGGCTGTCTATCCATTATAATAAGAATATGTATACATAAAACTCAAACCCAGCTCTTATTATTTAAGTATTTATCAAGTTTTCTTTAAACTCCTTTAAAACTGATTCGGTACTTACCTCAGTGCTTTATGCATGCCACAAGCCTTGCATCCCCCCCTTTGTTGGAATTAGTACATTCCATCATGTCTCTCACGCAAATCACATGCATCATCTGTTAAGCAATAGTAGTATAGTATGCTCACATGATGCATGTGACTCCCTCTACACTCCTCTACCGAACCTTCACTTCTAAGTTTGGCAGCTTTCAAGTAAAGATGTTTTCTTTTGTGCTTTGTGCTTCCTGTGTAAACGTTTTTGATTTTCGTTTGAAGTGGTTCTTGTTTTTTTTGTTTATACATTACCACAGTTCTCCCATTTTCTTATCATTGCTTTTCTGCACTAGACAATTTTATGAAGTCAGAAGTCAACATTACCACTTCAGGGTCACACCGATGACAAATATTCTATTTCAAGCCTCAGGTGTGGGTGTCCCGACTGTGGATCTTTCTGATTTTGTCTGTTGCGAGATTGAACACTACTTGGGTCACTGTTTGTTCTCTGACATTGCCTGAGCTCCTTCAGAGTCTGCTGACATTATTCAGCAAGATGACGATTTTTATTATCTTTTACCTCCTCTCAAGTTTGCCGTTCTTTCCCAGTTCCAGTCTGACAATTTAATTAGGTCTTCCTTGGCTATTACAGATTCTGTATCTCAGGTTTGTGATGTTTTGTCTTTTCCCCTATTTCTTATTCCTCTCGTCTTTCTCTGTTGCATGTGCATTCTTCTCAACCATTTTTGATATTTCCTCCTCCTCCTGATATTTGAGTCCATGTGCATCACTCTCCCAGTTAGGTGAAGGGATCAGTATGCCATGTCTCCAAGACCCTTTGATCAGCATGCCCTTGCTTACCATTGGGCAGAAAATTCTTTTTTGGATCCTTATTACCTCTTTGGGGATGGCTCCAGAATCTAATGCTAGTCTCACACATGCCTAATATTCTCGGCACAGAAATCTCGAGGAATTTTCTGCTGATACCCTTCACCTTCTCTATTCCACTTTGGCCTGTATTTCTTCCTCAGCTCTGTCAATACATACATTGTTTCTTTATTGTTGGGACCTTATAAGTAGGAACTGCATTCTGGTTCATGTTAATTTACCCTCCACTTATCTGAGGGATTTACATATTGCTCCTTTTCTTTGACACCGACCCTGACAATATCGAGCTGTGGGTAACATCTCCCTGACAACTGTCCACCCCTTCAACTTTCGTGGCCCATTTGTCTCGATCAGTCTTCCATGCCACATGTTCCTGTTTCCTGTCCTTTGTCCTCCCATTCTTTACCCATTTCTTCAAATCTGGATACTTATTTTTGTCGAGGACATTGCCAATGTATTGTCTGTCATCAACAGTACTGGTGACTACCCAGTGGGTTCAGGGCCTGTGGGAGCTCATTTGTTGGATTTTCTTCCTGGCTGGCTCCCCTTTGTCGAAGATCAATGTGTGACATAGGTTCTTTCAGAGGTACTTGTTCTCATCTTTTTTCCTCACCCCATTTCCTTTCCTCCTCAAGATCCCATGACTCGCCAGCATTTGTCAGAGGTGGTTCAGGATTTGCTTTTGCAGTGGGCTATTGAACCACTTGGAGGGGGTTTATTCCTCTCTTTTCGTGGTCCCCAAGAAATTTGGGGATTGACAACTGGTCATTGATTTGTCATGCCTCAACCTCTTCATCACACTCGCCAAATTCACTATGGAGTCCTTTCTCACCCTGAGATGGGCAGATGGGCATTTTCCTCGTGATTGTGGATGACAAAAATGGATGTTTCCAATGCCTATCCTATCTCCACATCCCAATAGCCCTTCAATCCTGTCTTTATCTTTAGCTTGTTCATCTCAGGGTGGCTTACAAATTTTGTGCTCTCCCCTTTGAACTTGCCTTGGCTTGATACATGTTTTGTCCCAGCGTTCAGGCCTTTGCTTGTCATATTCATACTTTGGGGTTGTGGTTTCATCATTACATGGACGACTGGCTATTTTCTAGCTCATTTTGTGTATGAAAGCATTGTAATGTTTACTGATAATCTGCTAAATTTCGTTAACATATGCTTACTAATTTAAAAGTTATAGCATGAAAACTATAACAAGCACAAAATGGTTATGAGGTAGGTCCCAGGGACTGAGCCCACACTAAAAGAGTTAAGACCTATCTCCTTTTCCTTTTGGCCTGCAAACATCACCAATCTGATTTATTTGCCATTGACCCATTATCATCCTACCTGTCTTCTCCTTTATCCTGATCGTTCCTTTCTCCCCAAGACCGCAGCAACTCAAGAAGGTTGTCCCTATTTTTCTCTTATTTCCCTACCTTCTATCTTCCATCTTTACCCTTATCCAGACCCTGATAGACTGCTGTATCCCATCAGGGCCCTACGGTGTTATATTGTATGTACAGCTACCTTCTGGGGTATGTGCAACTGTCTTCATTTCCTGGCAATCCTCCTCCCTTCGTCATCTTTCCCCTTCTACCCTTATGAATTGGATCCATTTGGCCTACTCCTCTTTACCTTCTTCCTCCCATACCATGTTCGATGTGTCTCCCCATCATATTCGTCATCTTGCTTCCCATCTTCTTTGTCCCTTGGAGGAGATTCTCCAACTGGCATGTGGACCATACCCAGTTCCCATTATCTTCATCACATTGCACTTTCCTCTGCATCATGGTTTCATCTTTCACCTGTGGCTGTGCTCCAGACTATGGTGCAACATTAATTGGTAAGTTTTATTCATTTTCTACCTTTTCAGGGCCTTTTTTTATTTCCTCTTTTTCACTCAGATTCTGTTTTGTGGTGCCTGACCAGGTGTTATTTCACTTAAAATCTGCACTGTAAGCTATATTGACTCATGCTCTCTTTTCCATGGCTCCGCATGGTCACCGTAGAGATGGAGTGTTCCACAAGATCACTGGAAGGTTATCTACCTCGCATGGGTAAAGCAGAAGGGGATAGCTGTCATGCCTTGAGTGAATAACTCGGTCAGTATGGTTTGCTTTTCAAAATAGGGTATCATTGTCACCCATTGCTCTGTATCTGGTGAAGACATTCATCCAGACTCTCCAATGCATTCTCACCTCTTCTTCGAGGGGAGTATAGGAGTCCTTGTTCCTTTCTAGTTCCAAGCCGCTGGGGTGGTTGACCATACAGGCACACTCCTGAATGTGTTCCACTAACGAGTTGGGTATAACCATTCAGTCAAGAGTAGGGCATTTGTGATATGATGCGATGTAGCCTCCTCAGGAGTTGATCTATCACCTTCCTGGATGATGTGGCCTCCTTATACTGTTTATATATTCAACAATATCCATAACCACTGGAGTTGATCCATCAGTTTACAAGCTGACTTGGCTTCCTTATACTATTTACACTACTATGGAGTGGATTCATTATTGAACTGGTTGATGTGGCCTCCTTTTACACATTCCACACCACATGGAGTTGATCCGTCGCACATGCATTTCACCCCTTTTGATTGGGAGCCCTCCTCCTACCTTTGTGTGGACATTGGTTCCCAGCGTTGAGGTGTTGGATTTGAGTGAACCAATCAAGATAAGTCCTCGCACAAGTTGATCCATTCTCTCGATGCCGGATGACCAGCCCTTGATTGCTGTAGGGTGTTGATCCTTGTGTATTACCCAGGAATTGGAGCAGATCTTAATTTCCAATTCTTGAGTTGTAGGTGAATATGGTATGAACATCATCCTACCATTGCATAGATGTCGGTACCCCAAAGAGGAGGTTTTGGATGTAGTTGACTTCCCAAGTACAGTCCAATGCACCCTAGCCACTCTACACCTTCTGCCCATGTTTTTTCGAATTATACACAAGGGCAAAGAGTATACCTGGCTCAAAAGTGGTGCGGTTCCCCTCCTCTTGTCTCTGGATCTCTCTCTCTCTCATGGTCAGGGATATCCTTCAGATGCTTTTGGGGGTGATTCTTTTATTCCCTAACACAGGTCCCTCCTCTTTCTCAATGTGGGATTCTAGCTAATCTTGTAAGATGAAGTAAGTACAGTATCGGAAGTTATAATTTTCCTATACTGAAAATGTATTTCTGATAGGTACTTACCACTGTTCATACTTCCCATCTTTCTTGCCCACTTCTCAGGTGCTCACACCTTCTGCCAAACTTCAAAGTGAAGGTTTGATAGAGGAGTGTGGAGGGAGTCACATACTCATGTGAGCATACTATACTATTATTGGTTAATAAATGAAGCATGATGATTTGCATGAGAGACATGTTGGAATGTACTAATTCCTACAAAGGGGGGGGGGGAGCATAATGCTTGTGGCATGCATAAGAAAATGTTCGTATATAGAGGGTAATATTGAACGAGATTAGCTAATCTTGTGAGAAGAGGTAAGTACCTATCAGAAATACATTTACAGTATAAGAAAATTATAACATTTACTACATCCACCACAAATAAAGGCAACTCATTCCAAAGGCAAACCACTATCTTGGAAAAAATATAATTGTCTTGGGTGAAGATGATTCCTACCTTGCCAAAAATTTATATTTTCATCATAATCTATGAAAAAATGACGAGGCACCAATTTTCTTAACTATCTTAAAAACCTAAATTATATGCCCTCTAACTCTTTTTTTCAAGAGAAAAACAATTAGAGAGACTGTAAGCTTTCATTGTATGACAATGTTTCAATCTCAGGTATCATCCTTGTAGCCTCTTCTGAATCCTCTCCAACAATTCAATGTCCTTCCTAAGGTAAGGAGTCAAAGGTTGAACACAATACCCCAAATATAGTCTAACCAGTGACCTATGTAAAGAAATTATAACCTCTTTAGATTTATATTCAATATTTCTGCAGAAACAACCTAAAATCCTATATGCTATACAACTAGTAACAGCACACTGTTTGGATGGCTTAAGAGAATAATCAATTGGAACACCAAGATCTTTTTTCTTCCTTAACACTGTTAAGGTTATTACTATCAAAATTATACTTATAATTCAACTTATTATGACCATCTTTTATTATCTTGTAATTAAAGTTAGCTTCCATTTATTTGCCCAACTCAACAAACAATCTAAATTTTTATATAAAGCAGCAGCATCCTCACAGCTAGCAATACCCAAAATGTTAATTATTTATTATTATTAGCTGAAGTAACTGGTGAACTTAAAGAATCTAGAAGGGATGAACACATGTTGGGAATACTGCATCATCTGGGCCCACAACAAAGAAATGCCAACAGACTGTTTTGCGATAACGGGGTTACCCTGTCTGTTGATTGAATCTTCTGACCCTAGACATTCAATGTCAATTGACCAGAGTATTGAATATGCTTGGACTGTCTAATATACTGTGAGATCCATGAGTTTCATGACAAATTTTATATCAACAAGAAATTATATTCTTACCCTTCTTCTCTTACATGCACATACCAAATTCCAGCTCTAAGAGAGGTTGGTGATCAAAAACTTTTTGGTGAACTTCATCAAGTCAGTGGCCAGACCCTATTAGTTTTCTGGACAGCATTTACCACTTGCTGTTGGTTCTCGTGCACTTACTGTGCCGTCAGTGAAAACCAATAGTCTTACCTACCTTTCTACATGGCAAGGTACAGGCAGTTTACTTTATAGTGAGCTAACAGTCCACATCCAAAGCATATGCTTTGTTTCTTCCATCCAAAACAATGTCTGGGTGGGGGAACATCATGGCAAAGGCTGCAGTATGAACACAATAGGAGGACTGGATAACCCTGTCTGTTTATTTTGGACATAGGATAGCACCTTTACTGAAGTGAGCACTCTTTGGAGAAGTTGTAGAATCTCTTAAAAATCTGTAGGAAGAATCTGTTCCAGACTGAGAAAATATAACCTTATATACACAAAAAACAATACCATATTCTCCCATGGAACTTCTGTTTCCCACATGACTTGTTATTTTCATTCCCACTGAAACATAAGGAAAGCCATAGTCTTGAGACATCATCTAATCTACCAGTGGAAAATATTTGTTTACTTTCACAATAGTATATACAACTATGCAGAAACCTTTATCATAGGAAGACAAAGGTAACACTTTCGATGACACAGAACAACAGGTAGCTAAATCAATAGGAACTTATTACATTCTATACCAACATTATAAATGAAAACTGCCAACACAAAAATAAATGAAAAAAACATTTCCATATTAATATAAGGAGATAGCAAACATAACGTATGCCTGCACACAGAACCACCTCAAAATGTTCCCATTATTTAGTTTTTTTATACTATTGCGCTCACAACATTTAGTTGTATTAGTAGAAATAAATAATTTAAATATGATGTGGACTATCTAATATTTTTTTCATTTCATCTGTAGTGCCATTGGAAAAAAAAACAAAGTTGGAAAATTTCGAAGTTCTTTCCAACAGTGGATTTGAGCCTGAAGACTACCAATCAGGAATGATGAAAACACCATGTCCTGTCATCCCTATGAATTTCAAACTAAGTGTACAGGGCTCACTCTCATCTCCTGACAGTAGATTAAACAAAATAAAAAGTGGAAGTTTTGTGTCAGGGCTACAGAATTCATTGACATCCCTCAACATCAGTACAGAAACTGGATTAAGGTTACACAGTCCACCTTCATCTATTGAGATTAGAGCAGAGACTACAAGACTACGTGATTGTAGGAACAATTCTACAGACATCTTGTTACCTTCTATGGTTGAAATGACTTCTCCTTTGATAGCTGCAAACCATTATAGGCAATTACTTATGTCACTACCCATTGAGAAAAATGACTACTTTTCATTATCATTTAATCCACATATTAGTCAGTTCTTCACTCCTTTTAATTCAGCTGTGATGACTTCACACCTTGGACTGAAACCTTTGTCTGTACCAGCTTTCAGTGGTCCCTAGCCTGTATAATGTGAAAGGTCTTTCCAGCCACTATAGTCTTTTTCCCAGCCAGAAACACAACATTTGTTCTATAATATTTAACCTAGAAGCCTAAGCTATTGACCAGAAAAAAAAAAAAGTTATATACACCACTATGATAAATACAAATTTACCCAATAGCTTACAACCATATAGTGATAGCAAAGGAAAAAAAAATCGTGTAATTGTGCTTGTATATGTATAAAATGTTAGATACAAGCTTCTTTACATCACAGAGCTTATCTGCATGAGAGCCATTTAGTTCTCAAATATAAGAATCATTAAATTACAACTTTTGAGATTAGTGTGTTTATTTCTCTGATATTTCAAATTAGGCTCAGCTGTAATCTACAGTAAAAAAAATTTACTCTTTACTGATAGTAAAAATGTAGGGTTCGAAATGTACGATGTTGTTGAATAACCACTTTATAGAGAACAATTTTCTAAGTGGTTTGTGGTACGTCAAAGTTTGAGTTTAGCAAGCTAATAAACATAACTAGTAAAATGGTCTATTTCTTATGTTTATCAGTAACCGACAGTTATAAGTAGAAATTATTAATTGATCAGCTTTCATTAACAGGAATATAATACTTTCCTAATTATTATGATTTTTTTCAAAAAAATTTATAACCATAGTATACGTGATGTAAACTAATTATCATAAATGTGAGTCTTCAGGCTATATATGTTTAAAAATGAATAATTCTTTGATTACCTGTATTACATTGGTACAGCTTCTTGCTACTTGTCTTATCATCTTAATCATAAAAAAAGAACTTTGTTATAAATTGATAAACATCCACATCCTTTATTGGCCATTCATGAGTAAGACATAAATGTGCCTCTCTCTAAAATCTGACTGGCCAAAGTAGCCGCACAGCCATAACTAGCAGGTTCAATGTATCTTTTACTCTGTTTTTGTACAGTAATTAATTCTGTACATATTATAAACAAAAATCAAATTGCTTAGGATATTCTGTTTGATGGGATATTGGGTGTGATTTATTTTTGTTGTAGGAAAATATTATATTCAGGTGTAAATAATGTTGTGGATTATTTTTGCATATAGTGAAAATGGATTTCTGCTAGCAATAAATCAGTTTTTGATACATTTTTGTGTGATTTTCAAAAAAATTATTATGTTTGTATTACACTGGTTTATGTAATTGTGTAAACTGCAAAATATACATAATTTATGGAATAACAAATGTTTTTAAGAAAATGTTATCAGTTGAAGAAATGCAACCCAGAAATCAATCAGTTATCAAACAAAGATTAGTATAGGGTACGAAGGGCTGGCCTTACTTATTTTATTCAGTAATGACAATTACTTCATGGGGGGAGCAAACACAATTTAACATCACCCCACAAAAATGTCATCTTTAAGACAAGGAAAGTAAAATATTTATCTATGACCCCATTCAGTATGATTCACCATGTCACTCTGTTGAGGGAGATCACTGTTTGTCTGCATGTCCACCTTTCACATATATAATTTTTGACTGCATCCAACCTTAAGGCCCTCAGAGGAATTTCATATGGGGTGAATGTTTAGTCTGACCCTCATCCCCCCTTCATACTTTTCAGGGGGTACTACAACTGTGTCTATTCCTTTCATACCTATAGTGTTTGACTAACTAAGGTCTCACAGGGAGTGTCATAGAGGGGTTGACATTTGGTGTTGGGGGGCACAGTTTCTCTCTGTGTCCCCTTATACGCTTATAGTTTTTGACTAGTCTCAATCAATCATGGGATGTAGCTATAGGGCCTTCTAGGGAGTGATATTTGGAACTAGCCCCTGTCACCCCAGGGAACCCCTATTTCTCATATTTAGTAATCTCCACCACCAAACAATTATGATACCCTTAGAGCTCCCAGGGGAGTGAAATGGGGTCAATATTCAGATCTGAATTGAAGGGGTTAATCAGCTAGTATATATACATTTATGAGATGTATAATATCAAAAATATTTATTATTACACTTATTGCCTGAATATAATTAAATCAAGGCAAGACTAGGCACTAAACAAGGATGTACCCAGCTTTTTGTAGGGGGTTCAGGGGCTCCCCCCTGCAACTCAGTGTTTTATTTTTTAGAAAGGAAAATGCAAACAATACTTGTGATAAAAAAAAGGCTTGAAATGTAACTTTACAAGTTTGTGTGTTTATCAGTTGGTTTACTGAATCACATTTATTTCTAAACCTCACAAATATGTATGTCATTCTTGAGAGAGGTAACACATTGTATAATCCAAGTTATATTGCCTTTTTAGATTTATAGGTATTATACATCAATACTTGCACTGGGTAGGTTGAAAAGGATATAGTTTTCTGACATTGTTTTATAGATTTTGATATTTTGCCATTAAAGTTCTTACTGCATTCAGCCTTTAGGGAGTTACGAATTGTATCAATAACAACATAAAATATTTGTCAATTCCAGTTCTCATCTGCATTGTCTGCTGATTTACTATCTGCTACCTTATTAGACATGCACTTTCATCTTCAAATTTGAGATGTGCTCCAGATATCACTACTGTCAATACTATCCACTAGGTCCAGTCTCAAAGTTATTAAAATAATGTCACAGGTCACATTATTGGCATAAAATTAATATGTATGATTGGCTGTTGCTGTCAACTTCACAGAAGTATTTCTAGGCAGAGTTGTGGCAATGTTTCCACTCAAGATTTTTAGAAATTCTAGTGCTTTGCACAAAAATACTGAGAAAATAAGAAAAATCAACTAGTAATTAGAGCTAGACAATTAGTTTGATTAATCAATCTGACTACCTATGAGCATCAATTACATTTCTTAGTGTAATGTCAAATATGTGATTAATTGAAATTATGATTAATGTCCTGGAAATAATCAATTATTCCTGATTTTGATTTTTCCAATTATCCAAAGAAAAAAATATTGCCATTATGATCTTTCATTATTATATTCCATTAATTCAAGGTTGTTGAGCTTAATTGAGTAGTGTCATGACATAACTCACAAGAATAATCAACTAAGCAAAATTTATTATTACCCTTTACAATTATTTCAACCATCCAAATTACCGAAATGTTGCCACTATGACTTTTCATTATTATTTTGACTCATGGTTATTCAGCTTAATCAGTTAGTATCATGACTCACAAAAATAATCAGTTCATTGAAATTAGTGTTTCCAATTATTATTATTTTTAATTTTTCCAATTATCCAAGTTTCATGTGAGAATAACTGATTATTTGAATGTAGTAGTAATCCCAAAACTATTTCACATTATTCAAAACTTTTTTATAAATTTCTTATTTATTTTTATCATCAAATACAGAAAAAAAAGTGAATTAAAAAATATTAGTAAAAATAAAATGCATACATAAAACATCTAATGAAAAGGGTGAAGGCTCCCACTTCTGTCAATCATCCCCAGTGTGATGATTTTTCAGAAAGAATAGCATAAACTGTGAGGAGTATGTTTCATAAATTTGTTAACCTTGACCTATCTGATTATAGCACTTAGTCTACTGGATGTTGACTAAATGTATTAAGTATTACAGAGAAATAATACAGTGTGTTGACATTATGTGTGGCTCACCACTGTGAACAGGTGAACCTCAGTGTCCACGTTGAATAAGTGGAGATATTGCAAACAACCATGATAGACATTTCCAGTATTGTGCACTACCAACTAGAAAGAGTTGCTAAATGGCAAAATAAATAGTATAATAAGACAGAAATTGAATATGACTGTGGTATCCTCTAATTGTACACCAGCCCCTTCCCTTTGGCTGGACTAATCTACATCTCATTATAAGTATGATAGTACTTATAGTAGGAATGTGCCAGATATGCAGTACAAGGTAAAAGCTCAAACACATTGCAGGCAGCATGTAAACAAAACTTTATAAGCAATTTGCACAAACTGTTGAGTAGCAAACAAACCAACTGCAGAGTAACAAGCCACTAAAGCACTTGAGAAATTCAGTGGAGTGATAAAAATTTCACAAAACCACAAATTTGTCAATCTGACTGAATGATGTTGGAAGGGCATAGCTCTCTCCTGTTTTAATCGTATGCAAATCTAAATGCACATAATTAAATTACACCACCTTGGCTAAAAGTATTTTTTCTTAGTTTTACTTATAACCTTGGTAATAACAATAACCATTTTGCAACACTACTAACAAGCTAACAATACACTAGTTGCCATATTCTATGATTATGATTGCAGATTGTATTGTAATAACAGAGTAGAGAAGAATAATTTGTCTTGTCAGTTGGGTTCTAAAGTAACTGAACCATCCTGTGTGAACATTTGATGAAAAAGAGAATTATTTAAAGCTCTGGATTCAACTGTGGTAATTAACTGTGTAATGAACATTTGTATATCTGTCTGATTTGTTTTAATATATTATTTGAAAACAAGTGGACTGTGTGTTGTTTGTTTATTGTTGAAATTTATCACCAACAAGTTACAGACACCTACTGTAAAGAATCACAGTCCTATAAAAACCTGACAACTTGGTTGCTGAAACAAAGTTTAAAACAGAGAAATTTAGCTATATACATCTTTCATTTAGTTTGAACAATTACTAAGTTACCAAAACATATGGAGTAGGAATGGGCAGAATGATGGCCATACCCACTTTGAGGTTGCACTGTGTCAAAAATCACCAAGTGTTGTAATGTTATCTTGCATATTCCTACCTTGTTTCCCCCACTTTTAGGTGCTCCCATTTCTACTTTATAATTTTTTATTTAAAAATTTTCTATGCTTGTCACCTAACAACTAAACATGCTCAACTGTGAACTACAGTCGTTATTTGATGTATGTATGCACAATGAACAGGATCTGCCTGTTTCTAGGTTGAACCTAAAAAAAAAGGGAGATAGTGAAAAAGAGATGACAGATGAGGCCAAAATTATCTCAGAACATGATGGTGAAAACAAATGATTAAAGCATTCTGGCCATCTTTGTTGAATTAGAGAAAATTAAAGTTGTATCAGAAAGAAGCAACTATGCTGTGGTCAACCACAGATCTCCAACATATTCTGGCTGGAATTAGCTTTCAGACACAGGAAATATTTTTGAGGCAAATTTACTGGGTTGTATTAATTTTCACATTGAATTTGGCCAATATGACTAGAAGGACACACAGTACCATAGTTTTCAGAAATGAAAACAATGTTATTCAGTTTTTGAATTTTTCTTTGTATATAGAATTATTAGAGTTGTACTACTAAGGTATTTTCATGTGCCCACTAATGGTGAGAGAGTTGGTATAATACATACTTGCTTATTCTATCGTAAATTTCATATATCTGTTAAGCCATTGTGCTATTTTTTTGTGCCCACATATGGCTGTGTGCACGTACAATCAATATATGTGTAGTCAGCTCTAACACAATGTTGATAAATTAGTGCTGCTTATTTAAAGCAAGTGTTTATTTATTGCTGTTGGACAAACTTTTTCCTTTTTATTTTATTTTTCTGAAATTTTACTGGAGTTATCTAGAACCATATAGAAGGCAGAGATAAATATCTTCTTTTCTTCATTTCTGAAGTAGATTTTTTATATTCAGATATTATGTGAATTATTTTTTTGTCATAATACATTTTCAGCCTGAGTTATTTTTGTTAAATTATAAAGATTTGTTTTGCAATCGAGATTTAATGCTATTATCTATATCTTGGATTTTTCTAGATTATTTAAAAGAGTTAAATTTTTATAAATAAATTTTTCTAACCTCTTTCTTATTTTGTTATGTTCATTACATATTGTGGTTGTTGATATGATATAATGGTTTTAGTGTTATACTTCAATATTAAATTGTGAATGAGGAATATTTTCAAATGATCTCGAAATTTGACATATGATTTATTTTAAATTCATTTTTAACATTATTTTGCAGTTCAGTCATGCAGAACTGAAATCTATATATACCACTACTGATGCTTCTAGAAATGTAGACAGATGAAAAGAATTTTAAACGTTTTTTTTCATCTTTCTGTGATACTTTGAGTTTTTAGTTTAGTACACATATAAACAGAATTCATCAGGTAGTTATTTGGTACCTGCAACTTTTTCCCATCTTGACTATGTTCATATACTGA